GTGTGCAAGAAAAGTGAAATTTGTATGTTTTTGCATGAAATGACGTCATTTTTCAAATCTTTACCGTCTTCAAATAAACCAGATTATGTCATGGTAATCGTGGCTATGTTTCTCCTCAAACCTTTCTTTTCATTTTCACATTTTATGTACCAGTTCATGAAAGTTGCTCAGTCTGAGAAAATATGAGTGTTACTTATTTAATTTCCATACCTATATACCCTTTTCTTGGCTTTTCCATGAGAATCATGTGTGTTTTCCTCTTTATACCACACTACCAAATAATTAGATAAATTACTGGGTTATAAACCAACAGAATGAAGATAAAATGAGTGTTCTAATACAGTGTACAAAGACTGGATATAGGTTTCAAAACACGTGTAGTCTGGGTGACAATTGGTCTTCAGCAACTCATGCTTGTCGTAAGAGGTGACTAACGGGATCGGGTGATCAGGCTCGCTGACTTCGGTAGACACGTCATCGTATCCCAATTGCGTAGATTGATCACTGGATGGTCTGGTCCAGACTTGAATATATACAGACCGCCGCCATATATCTGGGATATTGCTGAGTGCTGCATTAAACTACAAACAAACCAAACCAAACACCAGAGTGAAGATGAAATGACTGTTTTAATACAATGTACAATGAGTGGATACACATCACAAAACACCAGCGCAAAGATGAAGTGATTGTTTTGATGTAATATACAATGTTTTGATACAATATTTTGTACAATGTACAAAGTCAGCTCAAGTCCAAGGGCTTTGAGCTGCAGAAGGGGTCCTCAATCCGCATGAACACAGCAAGCAGCTTATCTCCCTTGTTTCGTGTGACCTTCTGACCTTCTTCTGTACTGTCGAACAACTTGTCCACAACGATGTCGTCCTTCTGTAAACAGGAAGTACACACTGAAGTGTTCATGGAAATACATAGCATCTCAAGCCAATTTACCTGTCTGGAACTGATTAACTGTAAACTTTTCCCCATCATTTTGGAAGCGGACTGGATACCTCTGTTCGAACTTTAGTAAAGATTTCAATTTCAGTGGGTTACAAGTTCTAGTGGAATGATGGGAGTTCTATTCCTGGTTGCCTCTGTTACATTTCTAGCTATGTCAGTAGTGACAGTGGGTATCACTTAAGGGGTAAATGTCTGAGTCCTGCACCAGTTCAGGCTATCATCCCACCACAGCAATGATTACACAATGCCATTTAGAAAGTGGCCAAATGTAACATATGTTATATTTGGGATTACACTTTCTTAGTAAAGTACAGATTCTAGTACTTTTTGAGTTGAGTCCCATCCGGGATTCGAACCCACACCCTCAGAGTCAGGCACCTAATCGCCAGCACACAAAGTCAGCCGCCTAACCCGCTCAGCCACCGGGACTTCCAATCCCGGATGGGACTCAACTCAACTAGAATTTGTACTTTACTAAGTGTAATCCCAAATATAACATATGTTCCACATGAGCAAGTGAGTGAGTTAATTTTTCTGCTGCACTCAACAATATTCCAGCTATATGCCAGCGGTCTGTAAATAATCAAGTCAGACAATTCAGTGATCAACAGCATGAGCATCGATCTACACAATTGGGATACGATGACATGTTTCAGTCAAGTCAGCGAGCCTGACCACCTGATCCTGTGAAACGCCTTTTACGACAAGCATGGGTCAATGAAGATCAATTCCCTTCCACATGAAGATGGACATCAGTAATGTAACTGATACGCTGTCGTTAAAAATCCAAGTCAGTCACTTAGTGTACAGTATTTCCGTTATTTCAGTTCAGTACTTGCAAAATGATGTGGGTCTTGGACATCTTCTATGTCATGAAACCCGCAAGCAGGCGATGACAAACCAGGAACCGAGGATGACTCCGGGATTTGAACACATCATCATCACATTCTGGCATTAGTAAGTGACTCAACTCTACACAGGACATTTCGGCACCTTATCTGGCTGTAGTGAACCAACAACACGGTATCCTATATTCAGCAATGCTATTCCATATAGATACATGTACATGTTTAACAAAACATAACTACTCTTGCCAATATAATTTGAATTATTTCCTATTCTTTTTTTTAAAAGATCTAAACTGTCCTCATGTTGTGAGTGAGCCTAATTTTTTTTAAAGACATGATTAATTTGTTGAAATCAAAACTCAAATAGTAACCATCTAAGTTCATACACTTACCAAATCTTCTTCAGACATCCGCTGGAATAACGGAAAGGCTTCGAAATGCTCAACCATCCAGTCATGAAGATCCTTCACATCTGTTATCGTGTACACTTTACCCTGCAACAATATTAATAATAACATGCATATCAATAATGAAGATGATCAACTCATGCTCAAAGTGCTACACTTTTGCCCTGGTCAGTGGATCAGTATTTCATTCTAAGCTCCCTGGGAAGTGTACACCCCAAGCTGCTTGTCATATACTAGAAGGTTACCAGTCACATTACCACACAATGGCATTCACCACCTCCTATGGATTGCTGAAGATCAATTTTGACTGGTATCTCCACAAGGTGAACATGTATTTTTCTGCATCCATATTGGACACATATTTCTGCATCATGAAAAATACTAGGACATCAACATTTACGCTCACTCACAGTGTGTATGCATGGATAGCTGAAGTTCACTTCTAACTTATATGTTCACAAGGTGAACATGAATCAAGAAACAAAAATCATATTTTGTTCTACATCCATTCTACACATTTGTGGGTACTGGACACACATTTCCACATCAGGTAAAACCCTATTAAGTCAACACTTACGCCCACTCGCAGTGTGTACGCGTATTCAGCTAACAACGTCTGGCTGATGATCCTCCACTTGTGTTTTGTTTTCTTGAAGTGAGGGTCGGGAAACAGGAAGAACATCTTGGACAGCTGGAATGAGAGAGTGAGTGAGTTGGGCTTTATAATGAACAAGTATTTCACCTGCCAGGAAATGTTACACAAACAGTCCACAAAAAGCAGCAACTTTATAATACTTTTTCAACAACTTAATACATATACAGTCAAATCCTGATTAGTCGAATGCCAGTGTCTCGAATATTATGCATAACTTCGAAGTACCTGTCGGTCCGACCATTCCCTGTTATAGTTGTCATTTGAATACCGGTTACCGCGAATTAGATCTCATAAATACACACGATGACTCGAAGGAAATTTGGTCCAAGGTCTGCCTTAAGCGAAGTCAGTCAACGAGAAGCTGATCGATGAGCAAACTGATCCAATTAACAAACCATTGTCCGCCATTTGAGTTCAAAAGGCAGATTAGTGATGAAATCACTGTCTGTGCTAATCAGACTGGAACTGATAAGGTGTCCCTATTAGTGATATGAAAATTTAACCAAATGTCAGGACTGAGCCATCAGGGTTATACATTAACTACTTGGTCAATTTCCGGGGATTTGACTGTATGACACTGAATGGTCGAGGTCTGCCTTGTCAGTCTAGACAGTATTTATTATAAAGTATTTATGGTCAATGTGTTATCATTAACCAGCAAAATTATAAAAGATGAAACAATGAAACAATAATTCTGTATTGGGATACTTATGGTATCTGCATTACTGTACCTTCGTACATGACACGTACCTGACCTTTGAAGAAGTAGTTGGGCAGGTACTTCATGGCATTGGTTCGAATACATGCAATGTTCTGATAGTGTTCCGAGTTCTGTTCACGTAGAGCTTTGATTCTGTCCTTGACATAGTCCGACACTTTCACACGAATTTCCATCCCCAATATCAGCGACTCAGGAAACAAGGGAGACAACTGTACTGAACACAGAAAACAACCACTAAAGTTTCTTTGCTGCACTCAGCAATACTCAAGGTGTATGATGGCAGACTATAGCCTAGTATAGGTAACCTAGTAACCGATATAATGGAAAACAATCCATGCAATGAGGGTAAAATCCTTGACAACAAATCCTGGAGGTTAAGGGAGGCAACTCTGCACCCCAAGACATGGGTTCCTTGGCAAAGGGGCAGATGTAATGCAGTCTTCTTAATGTCACCCTGATATGTTAAGAGGGATGATTTTTTAGGTTTTGTAGAATCAATTTCTGTCTTCCTGTCAATATCAATATCATTTTTCAAAAGGTGCAATATGTCTATAAACCTACCAAGCAAACCACCATATCCACACCCAATGTCTGCAAACTCCACCTGGTGTGTCGGCCGAGTTCTCGCCCTAGAGCCATCAGTCTCAGTATCTAGAGGCTTACAGAACTGTGGGTAGTGCTCTGACCAATCCATGTGCCAGGGATCTACTGGACTGAGAAAAGACATAGCAGTTATTGTAGTGCAAAATACAAGGAGTAACAAAGTAATACATCTAGTATCAAAGATGTAGATCTATATACATTCATGAAAGAATAGTCACAAACTCACAAAGAAACATACTTTACCTGTAACATGGCCATAATGAAATGGTGTAATAAAATGAAACCATAACATATAACAGGTGTACATAGACATATCTGTATGTCTAACAGAGAACAAAGAAAACCTTTGATGAGTGATATTTGGCAAAATGTTTGATACAACGACATGACATTGTACTGTGACGCGAATCATTATTACGCTGCTGCCATACATATTGTCAATCAAATGGAAATATATTAAAGGGAATGTCTCTTGAGAAAACACCTTCTTTAAAAATACTTTTATGCATCTTTTAAATGTCTGGTTTGCTTGATTCTTAAGCCATAAATATAGAGGTGATTAATGTTAAATCGGATTATTGTTTGAAGCGGCACAAAAAGATTTCCATCTCAGCACCAGATGTCATACAGCGTTGTTATCGCAAAAATACACATGATATAACTATGCTGAAATGTTCATACTAATCAAAGCTGTGATCAGATATTGGATTTGAGTGAGCTCTTTGTCTATAATATTTTTTCTGAGGTAACTTCTGAGTTGCCATGTTGCCGGCTTCTTGGGCTCACTTCACACCGGATGTCACACGTGGGTTGTACTTCCGGGTAGCTACGAACTCAAACTTTTACATGTGTAATTATTGTAATACACGACAATATCTCATAATATTCAGGAATTCATAACTAAAAAATATCTGAATGAAATATGTCATGTTCATTTGCAATGTAGATGTAAATGAAGCAAGATTGTGACTGTAGGTTTTGGCTTCGAGTGTATAAGTTGACATGGCAGCTTGCGGAGAGCGAACAAGTACCTGTCATCAGCAGTCGTGTGTAGTGTGACATCAAGGTGTGTACCACGTTTGGTAATTAGGTATATGTGCATTATGTAACATGATATATGATGTTATGAGCGCAATTATTTACTGTTTTCAAAATTCGTTGTTCAGCGCAAAGAGATGCTAAAGACACGTCACCAAAAAGTAACGGGATGTGTTTGAAGTTTCTGTCATGAATTAATGTGCTTCCGTGATTTGAGAGTCAGCTCATGCAATTAGTAGGTTAGCTTCCGACGTCACGTCTCTGCTTTGGAAATAAACGACTGTGTAAAACAGATGAAAGATGACAGAAAGAATGTAGCAATATGTTGGCAGGGTATGAAACTCCCAAAAATTGGGGCAGGTGAACTTGAGAATCTGGCAGTCCGTGTTGAAAATAACCCGTCCCGGGCGTTCGGGCAGGCAGGTATTTCGAACACTGATGTTGGATAGCAACGTTGCTGAATACAGCATTGAACAACCAACAATCACCTGTTACCCAGAAACATTTATCCAAGCTGCATTTATTTGTAGAGTCTATTATAGAGTATTTATTTTATTGTGTATTCTCATGACTCTTCCACAGAACCATGAAGTAGACGACACCGCAAGCCGTCACGATGTTGCTGATTACCTCTGTCCTGTTTGTGGCTCTTGCCGTGCTCTGCGCCATCTTGCAGTTCTGGGCCCACCGTACACGGAAAGATGAATCTGTCGGCAACAATCCCCAGTTCCTCAAGTTCCAGCGAGGCTACTACCTGGTCTACCTGGTTGCCATGTTCGCCGACTGGCTTCAAGGGCCGTACTTGTACAAACTCTACAGTTACTATGGTTTCCAGGAAGAGCAGATCGCTGTACTCTATGTCTTCGGGGTTCGCCTCCTCTGTCATTCTGGGATCATGGACTCCGATTGCTGCGGATCAGTTTGGCCGCAAGAAATTATGTGTTGTGTTTACAGTGACCTATTCCTTGTCATGCTTGCTCAAACTGTCCAGAAGCTACATGATATTAATCATCGGAAGAATCGTCGGCGGTGTGGCAACATCTGTTTTGTTTTCCGCCTTCGAGGCTTGGTACGTTCACGAACATCTGGAAACTCATGACTTTCCAAAAGAATGGATTTCACTCACTTTTGCTAAAGCATCTTTCTGGAATGGTATTCTGGCCATGACAGCTGGAATTACAACAAACATTGTATCGGAATGGTTCGGTCTTGGACCCGTGGCACCGTACATGCTGGCTGTTCCATTCTTGATATTTGTGGGGATCATAATCTCCACCCACTGGAATGAGAACTACAGTGGACATAAAGTGAAGTTCCCGGAAGGTGTGTGGTGAAGGCTTCAAGAGTATTGTCACCAATGAGAAGATTTTCATGATCGGTGCCATTGAAGCCCTGTTTGAGAGTGTTATCTACATTATTATATTTCTATGGACACCAATATTGGACACAGGTCATCCATCTCTCGGTCTGACCTTCTCCAGTTTTATGGTGTGTATTCTGATTGGTCAGGCTGTGAACCAAATTCTTATTTCACGGAACATTCCAGTGACGACCATGTTGATAGCAGCGACAATAATAGGCATCACGAGTATGTCGGTGTGTGTGATATCGACTCATCCCGAGCAGAGGAATGTGACTGTTACTTACGTTGCTTTGTTATTGTTCGAGTTCGGAGTCGGAATCTATTTTCCAAGCATGGGATTTCTCCGGAACCACATAATTCCGGAGTCGCACCGTTACAGCATAATGAACTGGTTCCGAATCCCCCTGAACCTCATTTCTTGTGTTGTGTTGATGTTGCTGCACGAAGACGTGTTCCGTCACGGCAACAGAATGATCTTCGTGATCTGTATAGTTCTCCTGTCGCTCGGACTACTGTGCGGGGTGCGCTTTGTGAAAATCGCGAAAGATGATGAGAACTTGAAACAGGATACCATTTTGACAGAGAGCGAACATATTCATAACATTTTCTAGAATATTTCTTAACATGTTCTAGAATGTTTGTTTTTAGATTAAAATATTTTCAAAATGGATAGATTCTGAAGAGATTGTACGTAAGAGAATGGAGACTTCCAAAACGACTGGTTAGAGGTCTGACGGAAGAGGTGAATGGAAACAAGATGGACGGTCAGAACTGAATCTGTCAACTGACAATATAATTAATACAATATAATTGATGTTTGGTAGACACATAAAGAAGAAATCCTGATGGAAAGCTACCTTGACAAGAGTATCAGGAGAAAATGCATGAATGATATCACAGTAAAGACTGATATTAACCTTACTTATTTCCCATTGATATCCACGATCAAAACTGAGATCAGGAATGGTGTTTGTTTCATTCAGTTTTGAAATTAAGGTGGCCTCGAGGAAATTTGGGTTTGTGTAGTGGTACTTAAATCTAGGACTCCTAAATCTCGCAAGCTTCTAAGATTAGAGTCACAACAAAGATTACAGGACTTGCATAATTCTGTGCACAGCACTGCCTTAATGATAATACATTGGAAGTAACCACTGGCCCAAGACAACATGAATGTGTCCTGATGATTGTCCATGTTGGTGTTCAATACTCAGCAAGATGGACCATCATCTTGAGCAACAGTCCACAACATGGAGTCATGAATGTTAGACACTGCATTCCAGAAAATACGAAATCAGTTGATCAGTGACAGAAACAGTTTTGTCTTGAATGTTTTGTGTGGGCCATATTTGTGTCTATCTTCTATATACTCAGAATACCAGCCCACTGAAGTGTTTCAGTGTATCTTCTTGCCGGTATATTTTTACGTTTTCTACATCAATTGTCTTTAGATGGCTTTCATACTGGTTGCTTTAAAAATCTTCATTTCCTAGGTAGTCTTTACAATATATCCATATCATCTATGTAGACACTGTTTTCATTTGCACAATTGATATAAAAAAAGCAGTTACCATGGTTACTAGAGATGTCACGATACATAGATGTCACATACTGGAATAGAATGCTGTTCACTTTTGGGCCACAGATTACTTCATGTAGTCACATATCACATGACTGTCATGTGTTTATTGTAGAGGTTGACTGTTCTTATGTGGAGTAGATGGTTCAGTTCCAGGAGTGTAGCAGTAGAAGTGCTGACATTGCAGTTTGCAATATTCGCCAACTCACCCAGAATGCTCATACTGCTCAACATTATCAGGCAGATAAGTTTCAACGCTTGAACTGATATGGATTTGTTTATTTGGGATGACTGGTTGTGAATATGTTTCTCAATACGTTTAACATAGTCGAAATATTTATGTATCGCTGATTTTAGATTTATGAATACAGAATGATGGATGATGAGCTATTATCCACAGACATAGAGACAGTGTAGCGTGTACAAATTATTATGGTACTATTTCCATTTATTCAAAACATATTCAACATGTTTCAGATATATTTCAAAATGTTGCACTTTTCAGCTTTGTTATTGTTTTTATGCATTGTTTATTGTTAGTTACTATGGTTACTGTTGTTTTATTTTACATTGATGGGAGATTCTCATCAATTCCTTATCTAGATAACCAACAATGTAAATAAGAAATAATGTTCATTATCATTCTGGGAAACCGAAAAAAAAGTGATGCAGGGGAGGAAATAACCCATTGCCCGATATCCGAGTCCAGTGGTTTTTTCTGTCGGGCAAGCAAATTTGTATATCACACTGTACCGGTGTCCAGTTGACTTTCCAATGTTAATTATGTTGTTTATTAAAGAAATCAGCAAGAAAACAGTCGGTATAGTGGAAAAATTATCAGGGCAAGTGACTTTACATGTGCCACTGTTCCGGAGTACACTAGCAATTTTACAGTTATTTCCACCCCTGTGATGTAATTTTGAAACCAAGAATGATTTAGTGTTGGCCTAGGTTAGTGTTTTGCACAAAATAACATTTACTTTTTCTCAGGTTCTGTGTTATCTACTTACACCATGTGTGCAGTACAGATGGGTTTTCATATGGGTCAGAAGGGAATTAAATGTATTTAGTTTCGTGTTTGACCTAGCTGTTATGCCATTGACATAGCGAGGTCACCTTGACCTGACATTGGAAGGAGTGAGTGAGCTTAGTTTTGAGATGCACTCAGCAATATCCCAGCTATATGGCGGTGGTCAGTAAATAATCGAGTCTGGACCACACAATCCAGTGATCAACAGCATGAGCATCGATCTACGCAACTGGGAACCGATGATGTGTGTCGACCAAGCCAGCGAGCCTGACCACCCGATCCCATTAGTCACCTGGGAAGTAACAATGTCCTAGTTAAACCTGTCTTCAGGTGCTTTGCCAGGGGAGACTACTGGTTGGTTATTTCTTGGCACCGATCAACTAACCACAACAAAAACTGTAACAAAAAATGTGGTACTTGGGTTTCTATATTATGTTTGTTAACCATTCAGACATAATGGCTGTGACCTGATTAATGGGTATAAACCATGCATACATTTAACAAAATTCCCAATACTTGGTAACTATGGTTACTTGGGTTTGTTTGATATGGTAGTTGGTCTAGGAGTAGTGGGAAGTGCAGTTAGTATTGTACATTCTGTGGTGCTTAAATTTGTCAGTCATCAGTCACTTTTTGGAGCTGTAATAACATTTAGACCCAGAAATATTGTTATCTGATTTTAAATTTGATATCTACAAAATATAAAGTAAAATCCAGAGCTTATAACCATGCTTAATTTCAAGCCAAGAGCTGAGGCAACCTAGGCTTGCCAAATCATTCTAGACTTGTCGTGGATTATATTTTTATTTATTCTCAAGGGTCTGTGAGACAGACCAATCTGTCCCTGTTGCCATGTGTAATATCTGTACATAATATCCTGTTCTTTCACTATGGTGGTTAGCTCAACCGGAGACAGCCCAGTGGAGCTAACACAACAATCGTGTCCATCTTGCTGCCATGTTGTGTTGTAACAAAAACTGTGCTTGGTACTTCATGGAATGTCCTTCTATAACAAGGTCAAGGGCGATGACTGATGTATAGCTCCAGACAACCATTAATTGAATTTGACCTAAACTTATTTTAGATTTTCAATCATAATTTTTTTATATCCACCCAAACCGGTAAATAGTCAGGGTCAGAGGTCACTTATCAGTGAATGCAATTGTTGTCCACCAGCAGTCCCCTCAATATTTACAACAGGATGTTACTACACGCTCTTGATTCTCATGATAATACAGAAAATTGTAAACATGGAAGATTTTACTGGAAAAGCTACTGTCGGGCTTCAGATGACTTTCGTGTATTACAATCGTTTTCTCAAAAAAACTTCTGATACTAACCGATTCCTATAAACACACATACTGATTCCTATGCGCATGCGCACCTCTCATGGTATTCCGAAAATACGGAACAGGGAGGTGGAATTAGTTTTTTGGAAGACGTTTGTTGACTGAAATACAGTTATATCTATTTCAACTGAACAACATGCAAAACAATTGAGCTTGTTTTGATGTCAATGTAATTCCATGTTTTTCCCTTTCAGACATATTATTTGTTCATTAGATTTACTGCCTTGTTTACAGATCTGCCAGTCTCATTTTAACATCTACGTTAGATTTTTATATGTCTTGTTGGAAAATAATATTTAAGATCCTTGCAGCATATTTATTTGGCTTTATGCTTCTGAATGGTTGGCTTGTCGACCAAGGAATTAATTTGACCTTACTGTTACATAAGTGTTTGTAAATCCATCTGTAATTATCATGATTATCCAGTGTATTTTTATTTTTTGTAGTATACCAAAACTCCGGACCATTTTGCCAGTTTGGAAACAACATCTCTATATCCATTTCTTGCATCAGTAATTTAGCATATATGTCCTCTTGTGTTTGTACCTAGTTATTATTAATAACAATTTAAATTTGAACCTATAGGTCCAGGGTCTTTATCATAATTCAGTGGAGTTGTTCCCTGGACCGCTGAGGATGGTGTGTAGATATTATACCCTGCATCACTGAGGATGGTGTAAATTACACTGTGTGATAGCAGGGCTGATGACAGCCCTTTGGTGGGACAAATGTGGGACATATTTGATACACAGACGGTGATGTGTAATCATTATGGGAGAATAAAATTATTTCACTGCCTACTTTTACTTTCTTCCTTAAGGATTGGTAATTATTATAAGCGTCCAATGAAGTTGAGTGGATGTTGCTTTCTGCCGAGTCATCACATTTTCCTCTGTATCATGTTAGCCACTAAATAATGGAGGCAAGAGGTCGACTTTATGAGCAACATCCAGAGAGTCGGGTATGTTGAGTCGCCACAATCAACTGATCTCTACATTTGTGGGTACTGGAGGCACATTTGTGCATCGTGTAAAACCCTGGGCATATGAATATAGTGTTTGAGTGGCCCTCTCCATAATGTAGTGTCGACTAACTACAGCTATGTATGTCTACAGTCAATATTACACTGAGCAAACACATTGCCTTGATGTATGCAGGTTGAAAAAAGTTCCCAGCAGGATGACCTGTTTCATGTTTATCAGTTGTTTAATAAGCAAATATTGAATTTAGTCAACATTCAGGGAGCATATATACAGATGTGTGCATAAGTTGGTCTGGAGGTGCTAAATACTTTGAAAACAGCAGATATGCAGGGTCACATTTTGTCTACAAGACCTTGTATCATCCACCACTTGCTGGGATGTTGTCTAGCCTCGAATACCGAGAGTGAGTTCAATGCCAGTTTTACCGATATTCGCGCCATATGAAGAACTCCAGATATGAGAGGAATCAGCACTAAGAGCTACCTTCAGTCTCCGTGGAGAAACGTCAACTTGCAAACACAGCAGAACAACATGATCAGAAGCAATAATTTATTTGCCTTGACTGGCAGTACATGGTAGAGATGTAAATGCTGACACCTACAACAGGCTACGACTATGACAATATCAACAAGGCCATTGTCCTTCTCTTCCACTGATCCAGGCACTGGGATAGACACGACTCTTAGACAGTGTTCTTGCTGTGTGGATGGTGCAGGGAGCTCCGAAACCATTATCATTAATACTCTTCAAATCCAAATTTTAAATTCCAAATTCCAACAAGCTTTTGTTACGTTTTGGAAACAAATCTAGACAATTTCAAAACATGTTTTAATTCAGAAAATACTGAAATATAGTTAGGTAGAAATAGTTAGAAATGCAGTTAGATAGAATTGCATTCCACCAGGAAATATACTACACCATCCACAGAGAAAAGACATGGGATAATATGCAATAGATAGTCCATTCATAAAGCAGATGCAAAAACTGATCTTTGGTTCAAGGAATGACAGTTGAGAAAGGGATAATAGGACAAAATTAAGAAATCATTTTAAATGGAACAAGTGTGAAGCAAGTTTCAAGTGGCCTGTCCTAACTCAAAGCATACAATTTCCAAACCATGGTATAAAAGAATATAATTTACAATAATCTGCTATACACTGACAACCCCTACATATACATGGTGTACTCGAATGTCTGATTAATGATTATTAAATACTTTCTTGTACAATAGATTATACCTCTCCTGTTGCATAGGTAGTCGCTCGTTAACAGGGCCTACTAATTAACTCCAGGATTTTTTAACGAGACAGTTAAGTTACTGAGACAAGTACTAGCAATATCTTTTCTTAACCTGGATACTTATGTTTAAAAAAAATAAAATTAGTATTGAAGATAAAAGTGGATTGTTCCCGGTGTGTTAATTATATTAGTAAGAATGTAGGCAAATAATCTCCTCTTGCAAGTAAAATCATTTTCACTTCTGTAAAATATTTATGTGTTTAAAATGAATTTGACAAAAACTCAACAAAACATGCACAGTCTACAATACAAAAACAAAATGGACACGTGTCTACAATATCATGAATCATATTTGGTTACTTGTACAAAGAAATAAAATTATTATGTATCTTGTAAAACATTATACGTCGAACCCTGACAATAAGCTGTCTTTACTGAATAGCGTGAACACAAGTGATTGTGACTCACTGGTTCATACATCCACTACTTCAGTTACCTCCCTTTGGTGGGGAAATAGAGTTCAGGTTAAAAGCTTGCCGTCGAATGTTGACCTTTGACCCTTGAATCTGCATTTGTCAACCAGTTTTTTAAATTCAGATTATGTTTTGGGTAATTCAGTTTTGAGACTAGACTGTTCAGCAATCTCTTCCATTATCCCTGACATGTACATAGAACATAGATATTCAATCCGGTATATATTCCAAAAGACGTTTACCCTTCGTAAAAACAATCACTGTTCGGTTTGCTTCACAAATGCATCATCACGGGAATGATGTTCTGAGATCATTGCTCCAACAGCAGCGGGCAGTCAAGGGGGTCACGTGACACATCATGTGACTGTCACGTGTTTACACATCCACCATACAATCAAGGCTTGTCACTCACAATATTCAACTGAAATTTTGTCACCATGTGATGTTGATATTGGAAATAAGTTCCAGTAAGACTAGAAGTATTTTTCAAGCGAAATAGAAATTCATGCTGTTATCTTTTTTAACGACCAGATTCCATTATATGTTTAGAAATGAATCGTTGAGTTTTCAACTTAACACGGAATGATGAAACAGATGAACGTTGAAAACTGGCATTCACACATTCTGTACAACTGCAAACATGACGGTTTTATCGAAATGTAGAATAAAACATGAAGGTTTTATCGAAATGTAGAATAAAACATGAATTAAAATTAAAATGAGTTGAAGACCATATTGTGTCAATGTTTCTTTTCTGTCACGTCGCGTTTACAGTATCTGCACGCTTACGTATCCTACATGTGACAAGTAGTCTGCAGGTTGTACACAAAGTATGACCACCCAACAAAACATTCTCTCATAATCTGTAGCAATTAAGAACGCAACACTTGACAAGCTCTCCACTTTGACACTTCATTACTGTAAGCGAGAGACAGCCCGAGTTATCTGCCCTTGGGTAGCACGTTGACTACCATAGCTTTGTGGAAGCACCACCAGGGGGAGCTGCAACGCGCGTGGCTGGGCGACGAGGAGACTTGTCGTCTATCTGGGCACCTGGGAAAGAAAGAGTGGAGAGATAAGGTCACGGTCAAGGCCAGTACTACCCTAGAGAAATATGTAAGGCCTCTACTAGAATGTCTTTGGTTTGCATTATGTGATCAATGGGAGCACCTGTCCTTAAAAATATACACAACAGTTGTTAAATATTCAATTAATTTAAACTTAGATAAACAAAATATTTGCTCAAATGTGGAAGAATATAAATATAACATTGTTGTTTCTGAAGCTGAGGTTACAAAAATCAAGAAAAATGGTCTCAAAATAAGATGAAATAACTGAGTTCATTGTTAGTCTAGTTTAAGCAACTCTCGCAAAATGTCTTCACTGTAGTCAATGGGCATCAAACTCAGACCATGGACTGAACACATCAATGCTGAAACACAGAGCCACCCGTCCCACCCAGATGACTGGGGAAGCAAACAAACCTCCAAACTTATGTCTATTACATGTTAACCATTTACCACGTACACAGATTTGAAAAATATATTGTATTCCACTCCCTTCCAAACTGTTTTGACAAAATTTAAAATAATACAAGATATTTAACAAAAAAATTGCCAGAGGTGCAGAATTCTGTCCCCCCTTTGCCAAAGTTTCTGTCTGTCACTTGTAATTGTAATTTCACTAGCCACATGCAGTAATGAGTGAGTGAGTGAGTGAGTTAGGATTAAAGGGACTTTAATCAGTATTCCACAACATGTTGAGTTAATGTTGGAGGACAGCTGCTAGTGATGTAAGTCTTGGATGTTTATTACTTTACAAACTGAGAAATGTAATTCTGGCCTAAAGATATGTTTCTGGAATATCCAAGGGACGTAACTCTGCACAGCGAATCACGGAGCCAAGGATGACCCATTAGGACCACTCATTAGTAACACTTGAGCCCCCAGCAGTAATGAGACTATTATGATGAAGATGGACCTTGCATGAGCTCAACAAATCTGAACATCATCCACATGCAAAAACATGACAAGTTCATTTAAAACACACTACTGTAAAAGTCCCATATCAAAGTCAAACCATCAGCTACATGTATGATCAAATATGGGAAGGCCTTCAAATAAACTCCACGGATCTTGCTGGCTAATCCATTCTTGACGTATATTTTCATGAATAAAATATGTTTAAATCAAGCATTTATCAACTATAATATGAAGAGAAAAAAAGAAACGGTTTTACTCTTGCCTTAGAGGATTAATAATTTTTTAAAATATGAAAAAAATATATACAAACTTCTATTCTATTTACTTAAAAACATAAAGCTATGGTTTTACTCTAATTCCTTCTTACGTTGCACTATTTCCATAAATACAAAAACTACAAACTTTTATACTATAAAACTTCAAACATACAAAGCATATACTATTTTGATAAATATAAAAAATAACAAAATTCTATTCTACAATATTTAGGAAAATAATGCTATAAAATCTGTCTATCTTCAACTAATATTTCTAAAAAATGGTAATAAATACCCATGTTCTTAGATTAAACAATTCTTTCAGACGAGGATGCTATTTAAGCCAAACAGCCATGACTTTCTCTGTCAACAAGACATATCCAGAGGTCATGTGAAGCAGAACAAGTTTGAGATATTCAGCATCCCATGCTTCCTCTTCTCAGATCCTGAATATCACATACCACATGCAAAATGTAATCAAAATCATGTCCGTCAATCTATTCATGGGGCACATTCTCTTAAACTACAAGCAACAATCAGGCAAACAACACAGATGACCCATTCCTCCCTGTTAGTGTTTGAGAGCACATTCGCTGACGCTGTGAAAGCACATTCGGTCAGAGTTGAAAACTATTTCAAGCAACACAGCAATGAATGGATGAAGTTAGAACAGCCATGTTATTTGACATGATGCGGAACCAGACTTGCCAAGTCTCCCAGTTTGTCCGCGACACTGCTGTGTTCAGATAAATCTACCATGCATGCCAACCAAGTGATTATCGCCATGTATCGCTGTCAGCCTGTCTAGGTCACCCGACTTGGAGCCAGTTAGTACTGTGGTAAACAGTAGATGACAAGGATAGCTGTATGACAGTTCGCTGAATCAGCGCTTGTAAAGGTCGAAACTAAAGTAGTCACAGAGTGTCCGTGAGAAACTGAGATTGTAGCAGGACGTTTGAAAGGGGGGATATTTTGCAAACAAAAGGAAAATAAATTATCTTTTTTAAACACCAAAGCATATGGGGAGATGTTAAATTAAAAGTGCATAGCATCTTAAATTCTAGTTTTGATAAAAGCATGGAAATTAAACACACACAGAAGCTGTTTTTTGTATTTAACAAATATTGGAGAAAATTTATTACTAACAAACTTTTTAAGGGATGTTTCTTGATAAAAAAATAGGGCTTATGTAGTAATGTTGTTACGTGAATACCTGTCCTGTAGCCTGGTGTTAGGTTATGTCCCCTGGAGCTGTCACAACTCTCACCACCACGACAACCTCATGTGTTTATACTCATACTTTTTAAATAAACATTTTTCCTTTTCTTTTCTTTCAGTCACTGATTTCTATTGGCAAAACAATATCTGAAACCAGAAGTCAACGGGTTCATTGACTTGACAATGTTGAAACTTGTTGAAAGCAATATTTTATTTCTGGCTGGGGTGTTTTACAGCTACTTTGATTGTTATGCAATCTAAACATCATGCACAATGGAATGAAATTCTCTGCATTGTGTTTTCAAGGGAGATAATGAGATCCCTAAGTAGCTTGGTAGGGAGGGGTTACTTGGCTTTGGCCAGATGAAAACTTGGCAAGTCTGCCTACCACTGAAGCTAAAGCTGGAATCTTGCAAGTTTCGTCCACCTCCACGTGTTTTTGGTCGGTTGTAGAACTCAGCCGAGTTGACGTCAGGGATGATGGGATTCGCGTCCACAGGTTTTAACGACAGAGCGTTCTCCATGACCTCTATGACGGGTCCGGTGTAGGGGTCACGCTCCACTTTCACTGGCCTGCGAGCCTGACACAAGAAAACATTACAATTACATGTCATACTCTTTTCTTTCGAGTGAATTTGCGTTTTAGTATGTACATGCATGCGTCTCAGTGTGTGTGAACGTGAGTGTGCCCATCTGTCTCTCTCCGTGTGTGTGTGTGAGAGAGAGAGAGAGAGAGAGAGAGAGGGAAGAGAGAGAGAGACAGGGAGAGAGACAGAGAGAGACAGGGGAGAGAGAGGGGTGTGAGTTCTTAAAAAATCCGATCAACAATATTCCAGCTATATGCCGTCAAACTGCAAATAATTTGGTCTGGACCAAACAAACCAGTTATTCCTATTGTAAGTCATGCCTGACACTTTCATGACAGGGACATGTTCAAAACACCACTTGACACTTACCCTTTCCCTCTCCTTCACACGTCCAAAGACGAACTCGGAATTACAAGAGGTGGGGACGAAGCGACCCAGTCCTTGAGTCACCTTCAGCTGTAAAACAAGGGGAATAAGTCGGTAATGATGTTTTACACCACAGTCAAAAACATTACATACTATCGGAAAAGTCCTGTTAGTATGACCCACAAGCTCCACTACTTGTGCCAACAATGTCCTAGCAACACAAAGGGAGATAACTGAGAATTCACTACGCAGATATTGTTTAGATGATTTCCTCAGAATAGTATCCACCGACAAAAGGGGAGTTACAGGGAGACATTCCTCTAAGGCAATACGGGAAATACTAACCTGTCCTTCATCCAATACAACGTGGCCGTTCATCATAACGTACAGTGGCACACCATGACAGACCATTCCTTCAAAGATGTTGAAGTCTACGGCCTGGTGATGGGTCTTGGCCGAGATTGTTCGTGTCTGGTCAGGGTCCCAGATAACGATATCTGCATCCGAGCCAATTGCTATCCTGCCCTGTAATTAAAAGGCATTATATTCTCAGCTAAGACACATGACATCATCTATTGATCAACAACACTTACCGATGGCCTCAGGATATGCCCAGGGATACATCTATAGCTTTTCTCGTGATTCACATCCTTGAGGGGACTCAGGCAGCCAAACGATGGCATAATCTGCCACAAATCTGCTTTACAGGATTATAAGCCTTTATCAAATCAGGATCTAATGACCTGAGATTCGATTCCAGATTATACAATCCCCTTTTAACACATGTTTAGGTTAAGCTGTTTAAAAAAGGTAACAAGAAGACAAAGTCATCAATATCCCCCGCAATGGCAAAATACTCTTCATGATTATGTCTACGAGTTATGATTATGTCAAATATTTAGGTGTGTATATAGAAAAGTGGAAGGAGAGTACTGAACGGTTCTTAAAGTTATGCTCCAGAAAGGAGCACTATCACCAATTTCAGTCTAGGTCAAACTTGTTGCCATGGAAATGCCAAAAATATTTTATTCAGAAATCCAAAACTACCAAAAGGCACCAGTACACCACCAGATCTATGTATGTGCCAAGTTTGGTGAAGAAACATTGAACGGTTTTAGAGTTCTGCTCCGGAAAAGTGCACTACCACTAATTTCTGTTTTACTCAAACTTGTTGCCATGGAAATGCCAAAAATAGTTTATTCAGAATTCCAAAAGTACCAAAAAGGAACCAGTACGAACACTAGACCAATCTATATGTCAAGTTTGGTGAAGAAATAGTGAACGGTTTTAGAGTTCAGATCCGAAAAAGAGCACTACCACCAATTTCAGGCTAAGTCAAAACTTGTTGTCACGGTAACGCCAAAAATATTTTATTCAGAATTCCAAAACTATTAAAAGTGTAATTCCAAATATAACATGTGTTACTCTCAGTGGCAGTTTGGGAAATGTAAGCCACCCATATTCTAGACAATTGTAGTATGAGAATCAGTTGGACATTTGTTCAGTTTTGTATACCATAAAAACATCTGACCAATTAATCTGCTGCCCAATTAAACTCCTCTGTCACACTTCGTTAAGTTCGTTAACACCACACTCACCTTCTTGGGGTACATGTTGAAAATCTTAGCAGCAGTTGTACTTGTTACAGCAACGAATCTACACGGGTCCATCTTCCCGCTGTGCTGTAACCAAACACAGACACTCTCGTATAGCTATACACAGGAAGTTATTACACGACTTTATTGACCTATTCTCAGGTTTCAAGACAACCTTCAAACCTGAAGGCCTTTTAATACAATCCTCAAACTTGAAGACCTTTTAATACAATCCTCAAACTTGAAGACCTTTTAATACAATCCTCAAACTTGAAGACCTTTTAATACAATCCTCAAACTTGAAGACCTTTTAATACAATCCTCAAACTTGAAGGCCTTTTAATACAATCCTCAAACTTGAAGACCTTTTAATACAATCCTCAAACTTGAAGGCCTTTCAATACAATCCTCAAACTTGAAGACCTTTTAATACAATCCTCAAACTTGAAGACCTTTTAATACAGTCCTCAAACTTGAAGACCTTTTAATACAATCCTCAAACTTGAAGGCCTTTTAATACAATCCTCAAACTTGAAGACCTTTTAATACAATCCTCAAACTTGAAGACCTTTCAATACAATCCTCAAACTTGAAGACCTTTTAATACAATCCTCAAACTTGAGGGCCTTTCAATACAATCCTCAAACTTGAAGGCCTTTCAATACAATCCTCAAACTTAAAGGCCTCTCAATATAATCCTCAAACCTGAAGGCCTTTTAATACAATCCTCAAACTTGAAGACCTTTTAATACAATTCTCAAACTTGAAGGCCTTTTAATACAATCCTCAAACTTGAAGGCCTTTTAATACAATCCTCAAACTTGAAGACCTTTTAATACAATCCTCAAACTTGAAGGCCTTTTAATACAAATCCTCAAACTTGAAGGCCTTTCAATACAATCCTCAAACTCCAAGGCCTTTTAATACAATCCTCAAACTTGAAGGCCTTTTTAAGAAAATCTTCAATCTGAGGGCCTTTTAATACAATCCTCAAGCTTGAAGGCCTTTTAATACAATCCTCAAACTTGAAGACCTATTGAAGACAATCCTCAAAAATGAAAGCCTGTTTAAGACAACCTAACAAAACTCGAGGGCTGTAGATACACATCACAATATCGTCAAGGTCTTTTAAAAACACAACACTTTAACTCAAAGTACAAGGCGTTTGTAACATGTTAAAGGTAATTCTAAAATTTCTACAATGATTCAGAACTGATGTTTATCAAATAATACAACTGTTTGTCTACTTACGACTCCCTTCTCCCAGATGATGGACATTCTGTCTTCCACACCGTTGACACCATTTGGAATTCTACGGAAGTCGTCTTTGCCTAAAGCTTTCTGGTCAGCATTAAATGTGCAGTTGTCTGTGCCTGTGACTTGCAGGTCGTTGCTGAATTATACAATGAGTGAGTGAGTGAGTAGGCAAGATCTGGCTATATCAGGCTTCACATATCAATAATTCCATAAAATGTGCAAAAACAGATCTTTCAGAACGCGGACCTTTTTGAACAATCGGGTGTTATTTTGAACCATTTTAAACCAATATTTGAGAGAATTACCTCCCTTGAACCACTAAACAAGCCCCAATGTCAAGGCAGGAGCTAGAGTGTATGGTCTCTGACAGGCCACCTCATTTACAAAATGGTGCATAGTTATTGTTCAATGTACATTCAAGTTCTTTTGAAATGATTCAAAGTAATAGTCGGAAAAAAAATATTCCTGTTTCTATGGAAACCGTATTCGCCAACTTACTTGGCCAGCAAATCCATGAGATAGTCCGGTGTGGTGGGATCCGGCCGGAGAGGGGGGCCCATCACATGACCGGCAGAGTGACGCCAGCATTTGTTGAAACAGTGAGTACCGTCGGTGCCTAAACTGGCAGCAATAGGTTCACCGAATACTATATTACCTGCAACAGGAAATGAGGAGTCATTATCATCAACATAATTTAACTTCAAAATATATTCAAAAGTCAAGTAATTACTAATTCTTGGATATATCTAATTCTTGGATGAGCTCAAATTGAAAAATTTATTAGGCGAAATATAACAATTTTGCATGACTGACAATGTGACATGAAAACTTGATACACAGAAGTATTTAAGTAAACAAGAATGAAATAATATCAGAGAAATGGGCCAAATTACATTTTCAACATGGCTGACAGAGGGGCCATCTTTACTTAGATCAGAACTATAGTCCTTTCAGGAAACACCAGATCTCGATCATCCATGCAAATGTTAAATATCAAAAGTGTAAGAATTGAAGAAAAGATGTTGAAAGTAAGCCTTGACATAAGCTCACAGAAATATGGATAAACATATTCGGTAACTAGAACATCCAAAGTCGTGCTTCACTCACCTTTTCTTCTGGCAGCGGAGATGACATCAGCAGAGCTCTTGCTCATGACGTGAACAATGTAGAGGGGTGAATCTGCCTGATTGGCTATCGTGATGGCTCGCTGAGCGGCCTCTGCCTCAACCTGTACACACAGACGGCCCAGTCTTACACACAATACTTCAGGCATAAACCATCGAGGTGCAATACAACGGTGGTTTTCTCATTCAGTAGTACAGCTGTCTACACATAGAAGAAGTGCAGTCAAGTAGAGAGAGAAGCTACATGTCCTACGCCAAGATGTGAGCATCTGAATCATTCATTACAATACAATACTGACAAACTATTGCTCAAATTTAGCGAAAACATTAGCGCCATGACCATGAAAAAGGTAAATACAGTAACATTTATACTTGAGAAGGTAGACATGGTATGTTGAGTAGTATTAGATAGTTGATGTCAGAAATTGTCTTCACATATCATGTACACACTGGGAATGAAACCCTGGTTTCAAGGGAACCACTGTCACCATGCACCCACCCCTTCACGCTATCTGCCACTCACCTCCTCTGGCCGACACATGACATGACCCTCGGGGCCTGTGATTCCCATCTGCAACATCTCCCGAGATTTCTGAAGCAAGAAAACGTGAGCCGTGTTAGCAGATGTGTGATCAGCAGGACAATTACTTTTAAAGTGATCCGGGTTTCTGGCCAGTTCTTTGTGCTGATTTTCAAGAACACGGACTGATTTTCTTCCAAAATGTTACGACGATATTTTTCCAATCTGGTCATGATACATAAGTTCATAAACAATAAATAAATCCTCATGTAATTTGTGCCATCTAAATCACTGTAAACCTGCTGTTCTATCTCTCATGGTAACGCTGAAATAATCAAAGGGGGACAACTCTTACCTCCTCAATGAGGCTCCCATTCTCTGCATGCACCATGGCGAGGGCCCCCAGCTGTTTACATTTAAGGAAGGACTGGTACAGCTCGGAGTCAGACAGCATGAACACGTCCTTGTAGGCCAGGAACATCTTGAAGGAGTTCACACCTGTAGAATACAACAGGTGCACATGGAAACCAATCAAGACAGGTAAAGAAGACTCATATTCCCTTACAGGTAAGGTGCAAACTTTTCTTTTGTCAGTGACAGGTCGGCTCCCTTTCAATAAAGTGCATTAATCAATACAGTTACCTGTGACCTAATTAGCAGTTTAGTTCTCCTTTAAAAACTGATTCTGTTATTTCTTTGATTGAGTGTAATGGCCAGATGTGCTACTGCGACAAGACACAATATACAGAGAGTGAGCATGGCTTCACACAGGCTTCAGATAAACCACAGGATTCACAGGCTTCAGATAAACCACAGGATTCAGCAGTACAGAGGCTAGGGCCAGATCATGAGCCCATTTGTACTACTCGAGTTCCTGTCCAAGCCCTAGTTAAGATTATGCCATGTCCATTCCATGAACCGAAGCTGTGTTGCAGACACATACACTCTACAGATCCTACACACATCCTACAGACACCCTAAGGCTACTACAGACACCCTACAGACCCCCTAAGGCTACTACAGGGACCCTCCAGAAACCCTATGGCTACTACAGGGACCCTACAGAAACCCTATGGCTACTACAGATTCTACAGACACCCTAAGGCTACTAGAGGGACCCTACAGAAACCATATGGCTACAACAGGGACCCTACAGAAACCCTATGGGTACTACAGATCCTACAGAAACCCTATGGCTACTACAGAGACCCTATGGCTACTACAGACAGCCTATGGCTACTACAGACAACCTATGGCTACTACAGAGACCCTACAGCTACTACATACACCCTACAGAAACCCTATGGCTACTACAGACACCCTACAGAAACCCTATGGCTACTACAGAGACCCTACAGCTACTACAGACACCCTACAGAAACCCTATGGCTACTACAGACACCCTACAGAAACCCTATGGCTACTACAGACACCCTACAGAAACCCTATGGCTACTACAGACACCCTACAGATCCAACAGAAACCCTATGGACCGTACCTCGGTCATTGCACAGCACCTCCATGTCATTGGCCACCTGCTCGCTCCACCATGTCACTCCAACATGGAGAGCGTAGTCGCAGCACACTTTCTCGTCAGCCCAGGATCGCCACTTGTCATAGGCATCCAACAGAGACACTCCCTTCTGATCCAGGACAAAATCCACTGAAAGCAAAAGGAAAGACATTAAACAGCAGTTATCTCCCTTTAAAATCTGCACTCGCTCACTTCAACAATATATGTCTTTAGAACAGTTTATTAGCGATTTTGGTATAACTAGTTTCAGGTATAACTAGGTATGCTCCAGAAACCAGTGCTGAGATATTGGTTGTCATGGCAACCAGAATAAATAATATGATATCTCTGCAAAGTCTGATAATGAAACATTGAATAACCCTTATGCTATGCTCCTGACAACTACAGGAAGGGGGACAGACGGACAGCTCTGATCTGTATATCTCTCCCACTAGGTGTTCATCAATACCAAACCCTTCTCTACAGTACCCAGCGTCTCCTCCACCTCTACTCACTGATCATCGTAGTTCCTCCTGCCAGTGCGGCCTTGGTCCCGCTGTAGAAGTCGTCCGCTGCCTGCGTCCCCATGAAGGGCAGCTGCATGTGAGTGTGTGTGTCGATACCACCTGAAGACAACCAAATACTGTATGCCTCATCACTACCCATTACTGAAGACCTCAAAACAGCCAAAAGCCTGCTCTCCGTCAAAACTCTCCTCAAAACGTTTCTATTTAAGAAGTACTTTGTCTGGACTCTAACCAAAATAACTTTACTTGTAGCGCCATGAGCATACCAGCTGGCGTGGAGTTTGGCGCGTTACAAATTCACTCAGTATTATTATTATTATTACCCATTATCAGGATGTTTGGCTCTTCCTACATACACCCTATACCTGTCTACAACCTATCATCACCCTGTTACACAGGATGCTTGGCTCTTCCTAAATACCCCTCATAACTGCACATCGTCTATCATCGCCCTGTTACACAGGATGCTTGGCTCTTCCTACATAACCCCCATAACTGCATAAAGTCTATCATCACTATTTTACACAGGATGCCCAGCTCTTCCTACATAACCCCCTCCCCATAACAGTGAGGGTATATTTATTAAGAGCCAAATCCACATCCTAAGACATGCTCAAAGTGCTACATTAATATGTCAGTCAATGAATCAGTGTCACCTATTCTCTCAACTCCTTGGGCATCATACAACCCAACCTGCCTGTGAAGAACTAGCAAGTTAACAGACACATGACCTCAACTAAGAGGATAGCTCCAGGGTCTTCTTAACAATGCTCCTGTTATATGACAATGACTAGAGACTACCAGGTAAATGATTCCTTGTTCTTGCAACATCCTTCAACAGAAGCATGGCTCCAAGGTCTTCTTGTAACATCCATGTTGCAAGATATTGACTACTTTCTTCCCAAAGCCTTCCTAGTTATAGATTCTATGCTCTTCTCAATTACTCCCCCCATCAACATTAAGATGACTCCAGGCTATTCCTTTATACTCCTGTTATAGGAGAAAGATAATATAAGACATCCTTTATTTGGTCTGTTAAGGATGGACAAGCAAACCAATTTATCATATTGGTGCCAGTACATCTTACGTGTATGTCAAGAACTGCTTTTTTGCTATTCTTCAATTAATCTTACCTGGGATAACGAGCTTGCCCCGAGCATCAATTGTTCGTGCTCCACCTGGGATGACAAGGTTATTACCGATTTGTCTGAAAACAAATAAAAGAATGAATATTAATGAACTCAAAATAAAATTTGGGCCAGATGAACCGGATTACCTTTATACAAAACAACCCGAGAGGTACAAGCATCTAAAAGGCACTTCTCTCAAAATAAATACCTCATTTCTCTTAATAATACTAACTATCAGTCCTCAGGGAAGCTACCATATAATGTTTCCGAACATTATTTCAAGTGAACCACATAGAATTATGTCCCTTAGAGTGATCTTTACGAATATTTTTATGAATAACTTGTGACTGAAACCAGATTGGCAAACACCGATAACACCGCATGTGACAGTTTTCGATGTATAGAGATATTGTTTACATTCCCAAAATGGCAAGTGTTCTCTGTTTGTAAGCTGTTCGCCCCAAAGTTTCAATTATTGTTTTCAGGCAAGTTGTAAGGGATAATAAGTCTATTATTGCATCAATAGGAGGCTGAAGTGAGTGTATATGCCCCAATATACATAAGATAGGACAAAATATAATCGAAAATGTGTGAAATTGTGCCTTAAGTCTGTGCTAATGTGTGGGACTAATTTAGTGGTAAGATAACTTTGTACAATGGCACACATGGTACTACTTGTAAAATCGGCAAATTGACACGAATCCTGCTTATTACAAAAACTAGATTAACAGTCAAAGGTTCAATCAAATGTCAAAACCTCCCCACTATTGTTCTTTCTGAACAACGTATTCCTTGGTGACTTCAAGAATATCAAATATCACCACGCCTCACCATTCATACCAGCCTTACCCAGTTTGTCAACAACTACAGGGTGGGAGTTGTATGTGACTGTGAGTGTGAATGAGTCTGTGATGTTGTGCGCCAGTGTGTGAGAGTGCGAATGTCTGGACTTACACCACAGTCAGCACTAGATCAGCCGAATGTGCCTGATTATCTCTATATTGTAGCCCAAACGATATACATTCACAAATGTGACACCAGCTGTACTATGACAATGGACAGAAGGAATGGTTGTGCAATATTCCAGCAATGATAAAACACTGTACACCACCAATAATGCAGCAATGATAAATCACTGTACACCAGCAATATTCCAGCAATGATAAAACACTGTACACCAGCAATATTGCAGCCATGATAAAACACTGTACACCAGCAATATTGCAGCCATCATAAAACACTGTACACCAGCAATATTGCAGCCATCATTAAACATTAAACATAAAAGTGAACACCAGCAATATTGCAGCCATGATAACCAGCAATATTGCAATATTGCAGCCATCATAAAACACTGTACACCAGCAATATTGCAGCCATCATAAAACACTGTACACCAGCAATATTGCAGCCATGATAAAACACTATACAACAGCAATATTGCAGCCATCATAAAACATTGTACACCAGCAATATTGCAGCCATCATAAAACACTGTACAACAGCAATATTGCAGCCATAATAAAACACTGTACAACAGCAATATTGCAGCCATGATAAAACACTGTACACCAGCAATATTGCAGCCATCATAAAACACTGTACACCAGCAATATTGCAGCCATGATAAAACACTGTACACCAGCAATATTGCAGCCATCATAAAACACTGTACAACAGCAATATTGCAGCCATCATAAAACACTGTACAACAGCAATATTGCAGCCATCATAAAACACTGTACACCAGCAATATTGCAGCCATCATAAAACACTGTAGCAATATTTGTTTCATCATTAAACATTGTACACCAGCAATTGCAGCCATGATAAAACACTGTACACCAGCAATATTGCAGCCATGATAAAACACTGTACACCAGCAATATTGCAGCCATCATAAAACACTGTACACCAGCAAATTGCACCATCATAAAACACTGTACACCAGCAATATTGCAGCCATCATAAAACACTGTACACCAGCAATATTGCAGCCATCATAAAACACTGTACACCAGCAATATTGCAGCCATGATAAAACACTGTACACCAGCAATATTGCAGCCATGATAAAACACTGTACAACAGCAATATTGCAGCCATCATAAAACACTGTACACCAGCAATATTGCAACACACAAATAAAATCCACAGCACTGGAAACCAGCCATATCACAAATGTGGATGGAACGGGCTTCACAAGGTGTACATACCACTTAGGAAATCAAACCCAGGGTTGCATGCTGGGAGAACACTTGAACCATTAGGCTACTCACTTGATGATTCCATCCTCAATGTAGATGTCCCCATCATAAGACTGATCATCGTTGACAATCTTCCCTCCCTTGATGAACAGGCGGGACTGTGCACTCTGGAAACACAAACACACTTCATAAACATGTGGTATAGATATAGCATTTTGAAGACATGTTACAAATACATTAGGGCTCCAACAGTACTAAAGCTGGGTGTTCCACACTGCAGATGATGGTATTTCTTGCTTATGTGCTCTGCAAGAAATATTCATTATGTCCATGCATACTTTATACACAGGTCCGTTCAATATGTCCATCAGATACATGGAATCGGATGACACATTTTGTCCATAAACTAAGTCCATACACCCACTAGATCTGTTTACAGCAACAATACGGCTATTTGTTCCAATAATATGTCCATACAATGTGTCCAAACACAAGGTCCATACAGCACCATACATCTTATGATATATGTAGACAGAATTGACTCCTTGGAAGATGTCCTTAGACAATTCTAAAGCACAATGTCACTACAATGTCCATACAATGTCCATCAATGCTCTTTACCGTACACATGCTATAGAATCACTCATTGTTATCTAACAGCACTCATTGACGTCGACGCTAGCTGATGACTGACAAACACATCAAAGCATAACAACACTCATTGATACCTGACAATACATGTTGATGCCTGCAGCCTAACAACACACGTCGATAACCAACAACGCTCATCGATGCCCAAATTCTGACAACAGTCATTGATGCCTAAAGCCCAACAACACTCTTCGATGCCCAACAACAATTAATCGAGGCCGGATGCCCAACAACACTCTTCGATGCCCAACAACAATTAATCGATGCCAGATGCCCAACAACACGCGTCGATGCCTGACAAATCAGACCATCCGGTTAAGAATGAGCTGGCACCCATAATGCAACTGTCTTACATGAGTCTTTGGAAACCGTTGAATTTTCCGGGGAATGAATGACAGCATACTCGGCATTAGAAACCGACAGTGGACTGTTGAAAGTGAAATTTTCAAGAACTATAGAAAGCAGAATGCCAGAAATCTTGCAAGCTGGTCCAGTGTCATGGAAGGTCTGGTTTTACCTCCAGATTGACAACAATAAGTCTGTCTGTTACACTTCAGCATGAAACTGACGTCCATGTCTGACACAAGCTGATAGGTATGCCATCTACTTCAATACAAACAACATTTGTTATTCCAACTTAATCTAACAAATACCATCGTGAAATACCTGCAAAGAAGACAACTTTTCTCTAGCCATTAAGCAAACACAACTGTCTATCTATCCCAGGTAGAATGATGCGTGGCTCATCTAGATGCCCACGGTTCCACTGCTGGAAGCTGCAGTGCCGACAGCCTTATCAGAGCTGCAGGATGACTCCGACTCCAGTTTTTTTCCGCCATTGTTCAGATGGTGCAGGAGGATTTGTGCAGACGATGCATCTGTCGAAGACATTACTAGATTTCAGGAGCCTGGTAGGGGAATTAGGACCGTGAACATGCCTTTATGGATAGGCTTTCAGATCCCCCATCTTCCACGCCTGTCCCATATGGAAGCAAGAATTAACCTTGATGAACATGGGTCACTTCGACATACAGTGATCAGAATTCACCAAGAACTCAAGGATTCTTGTAACAGTAACAAATATCACATATCAAACATTCTTTGGTCAATGTCAATAGTAAAAAGTTATTTTTTTTCAAAGAAAAGTCTCCTGTCTAAGAATTCCCCTTAATTATAAACCCTATATTTTTATCCTGTAGATTTCAACTGTCTGCGAAACTACATCAATGCATGAGCATGATAACGCTAAAGTCTTACGTACATCTGTGCACTTTAGAAAGACTGATGAATATAATATCCTTTCCTATCTCAAAACATTAAGGTTATCATTACTTGGTGCTGAGACGTCTGCTTTCTCTGTAGGTGTGTGTGTGTCATTCCAAACTGTAGAGTCACAATGACCATATCAGTTTGAGGAACACCACTCCCAGACCAGACCGCACACGGAAACAGCAGTGTGCATTCAACATGCATTCACTGCAAGCTCAATGGCCTGTTATTCAACCTTTCATAAAGTATTGAATGTATCCCATCAATCATCAGTAGACATTCTTGGCACAGCTAACTATTGTTAGCAGTGTTTCTTCTCCTTGGTCAGTACACAGCTGGTATATGGTCAAAATACACGTAGTATATGGTCATATATACCTTCTATATGGTCAATATACTCCAGATATATGGTCATATACACCTGGTTCATAGTCAGTATACTCCTAGTATATGGTAAATATGAACCTGGTATACAGTCAATATCCACCTGGTATATGGTGATATACACCTGATGAATGGTAGATTTTTCAGTGGATTCATGCTAACAAACAATGACTCAATTACAAATAAGACCAAAAACTGTAAAAGTCTTTTTAACAATGAAAAGTATTCCCGTGTATTGATATATCTTATGAGTGAAGGAACTAAACATGTGATCAATACAAACAGACAACACTTAACCTTGAATATTTCCTGGTATGATATAACCTGTATCACCCGACTATATAACACAGTATAAAGCAGTGACAATTGTATACCACACCCAGGGATGAAGCCCTTTAATCCAGAGATACAAATGACTGTTTCAGACAGAAATTACTCAGTCACATGTCCTACGGCTGAGAATCAATACATGGTCTAACCATTCCATGACGGAGGTCAACGTGACCTTGCTGCTTTTGTCTGACTCACATCTTTCTGTATTTTTTAACAATGAAATTATATTGAAGAATTTTTTACTCTGCTAATGACCAAATAGCAATACTGTCTGACAGACTAAATATCTGGAATATTATTATAGGACATTTACCGGACACAAAGTACCTACAGAAAAGGATCTATTTGGATAATTTTCTCATCAATAATCACTGGTTGACATATATAAAACCATGAGATAGGTTATACATCTGTACTATCTACAGCAAACTGTGCCATGCAACAATATATTCTATTTCCATTGTGAATGAAAACACTTGTTAACCTTGCAATAACTGTAAACTTACTTGGAAAAAGTGTACATAATGATTAAATTAATGCTACAATATTTAAACATTTCTACTCGTTAGATACACAGAATGTGGCACCTCATTTGAAAGCAAATTTTAACATCAACTGACCAACATCAATACTGTAAAATCCGAATGAGATAAAATGATATTTTTTGTCAGAGATGCTGTGCCAACACTGCCAGACTAGAATGCTTACTCCATGTTCTTTACAGGAGCAGAACCCTCGTGCAGTCTGCAGATGCATATCTCCATTGCACATCTCCTCCATGCTGGTAGAGCTGGTCAACAATCAGGCCACAAAATGGACGGATTAAACAGTTTGTTTGTTTGTTAACATCTCTTCACTGCCACCACGAGCTGCGAACGTTCCAGCGTTCAGGTAAAACATCAATACCACATGTCCTCAGTGCTGGCCCCAGTCAGGTGCTGGTCCACCGTTCATCTCCACACAGGGTTACTGCTCCCACGTGTAGGTGAGGCAGATTCTACGTTTTCAATACATTCAGTTCAAGGCAAACAAAATGGATGGAATCAGTCTAGCAAATCGATGGAGTGACTTATTTCAATGTGGCAGATGTGAGTTCAATACTGATGAATTCCTCCAAGTAACTGAATACTGTATCCAGCTTGGTTTGAGGTAACATGAGGCGTCGTCATTCATACCAGGATCATTTTCATCAGCAGATGTCATATAGATTTCATCAGTCTCAGGCCCTTGTGCCGTGACCTGGTCACGTAAATCACCTCAAACAGTATTCACATAATGTGACAGAAAAAAAAATCCAGTCAAGATGTCTCACTTAAAACCCAGAAATTGGAACACCCGGCTTCTGACACTGGTAGCAGACGGCACCGCATCCGTCATGGTGGAGGAACACAGCAGCCACAACACTAGACAATCAGATGAGTCGCTGATGAAAAACACCATGAGTTAAAAATACCAAGCAAAATCCCAACAGCAGCTATGGTCAAGCGTCTGCACAGGAAGTGAGAAGTGCATGCTGGGAGATGACGATAGAGGCGGCAGCATGAGGCACATCACCTGGTGGACGCAGCAACCTGGTCAGATGGCTTGCATCATGGGAAGCGCCAGGCAATGTTCGTCAGGGCTGCTGGTTCAACGCCTCAGGCACGCTGCCACATAACCCCATCTAACCCCTCATTTACCTCACTCCTCAGTATCAGACATGCAGCTTGCACATCCTGATTGAGGCCATTCAGCTTATCAAGCTGCCCCCATGTCAAACTGCCAAACTGACAAAAACATTCTGCATAAAATAAATTATCGAGTCTGGAAAATCTTACGACTTCAAATGCAAGATCTGAGCATGCCTAAGTTTCAATGAGTTGGAAGGGCAAAAAAAATCATATTACTCATAACTGCAGTCGTTCACCGGCAACATATTAGATGTCTGGAGGGGCACTGAGATGACTTAAAACAGAGTCATGGCATGAAAAAAGGCTGCTTTGCCCTATCGAGTATCAGAAAACACTTTCCCCAGCCCTTGTAATAATAGGAAATAGTATAGGCACAGAACCTCGCAGGTTTGGTCACAGGTCAGGCCCTGAGCCCCTGTTTTGTACAGGGAGGCCGTCTGTGGAAGTGCTCAGGAACACGATGAAGCTTCATTACATAAACAGGATGGCCCCGCAGACTCCGTTCATGTGTGCAATAATCAATACAGCCGCAGCCAAAACATGCATGAGTAATAGGAGCCAGCCCACAGGGTGTCGGAGGAGGGAAGGGGTGGAGGGAGGGTCAGCATGGGGGTGGAGGTCCTGAGGTACTCACTGCGGGTGAGGTGTATTCAACGAAGGCAGAACTTGTTAAGGGCGGGGGTGAAGACAGCAGTGGAGTATGGGAATTCAAGGTTAAACTGGACAGGGGCAGGGGTTGGATGAGAGGTGGAATGGCAGGGGTTGGATGAGAGGTGGATGGGCAGGGGTGGATAGAAGATGGATGGGCAGGGGGGTGGATGGGAGGTGGATGGGCAGGGGTTGGATGAGAGGTGGATGGGCAGGGGTGGATGGAAGATGGATGGGCAGGGGGTGGATAGGAGGTAGAACGGCAATGGACGGATGGAAGGTGGATGGGCAGGGGATGGATGGGCAAGAGGTAGATGGTAGAGGGATGGTCAACCAGTCTATCAGGATACAGTGGGGAACCATGCTGGGCAAGAGAAGCAAAATTCCTGGATGTATAGCAAACAAAACCATGCTGCAATACTGCGGACATTAAAAACTATATTAGCATATTGATCCTTCCAACAGCAAACGCACATTTTTTATGAGTTTTTCTCGGCTAAAAGCCGTTAATAATTGAGTAGCTGAATTTCACCATGAATCACTCGAACGATATTGTGCACATGTGCCTTGGCTTGCCAATATCCTAAACACACACAAAGTGGCAGCGATGGAAATTGTATGGCTGGACAGGGAACAAAGGAATTTGGTCCGAGATTTGGTGCTGGAGCTTTAAACACATCCTCATGGCTTGCATCTGCTCAACACTAAAAAATGTCCTCAAATTAAAACAATTCCTCTCAGTATCTAATGTTCACTCTAAAAAGCCTCAAGACATATAATCTGTATGTCCTTATCATCAGTGATGCAAAAACATGATGTGCCCTTATCTGCCAAATAACAGTCTAAGTTGATGGATACCATATTTATCAGCTAGATAGTTACGAGTGTTATCAACTGTTATCACCTTTCACTCATCTTGTATCACCAACATGGCACTTACGTCCAGGTGTACAAGAAACAGATATCACCATTACAACCCCACTAACCAAAACACCCACAAGCTGACCACCCACGGCTTCACCAAATCACCTTGACATTTCTCTAAAAACCAAACAGAACCATTACCCTTAAAATTTTGAAGCTATCAAATCTTGGTTGTTGAAAGGAAGCTAGGAGCTATTTTCTCTGATAAGCCGATCTGGCTATCTGCCATGAACCTCAGTGACATGATCCAACACTGAGTACAGTAATACTGCAAGGTAGATCTTTATTTCCTTGCCTTTCAATGCAAGTGATCTGTAAAATTGTAACAGTTTACTTTATTTTGCCCACAGGGTATATACACAGTTATTCCACACCAAGACACACTGTTAACATGTCACAGCTGATTGGCTGTGAGGCACAAGGAAGATATCTGCTGAAGCATGTCAGTATTATTGACATTTCTGGTTGTGAATGAGCCATGGAGAAAGAACTGCTGTATCAGCAGATAAGACATTTCTAATTATACCAGGTCACACATGGATTTGCTTTGAGTAATGTTACTCCAAGACAAGTAATAAAACAAGCATTACTGTTAGTGCATATATAACTAGTGTTAGGCATGGTATATAACAAATAACAGTACAGCGTGTACGTGTTCAGGAATACTATCACCATGCAATACCGGTATGTAGAGATCAGAAGCTATCACACAGCTGACAAAGAATGTACAACCAATGGAAAGCTAAATGGCACCAATCCCTGTAGAGAAATGTTCACTCTAACACTGCCCAGTACAAATAAACAGGGAGGACATTTTATGTCTATAGATTACTATTTATGCTTCTCTGCTACAAAGTAATTCCCCACATATGGTCAAAGGTGGTATTATGCTTGATAATAACCCTGCTGTTATCACCATTGTAAGTGTCAGGCATTATGAGCTATATCAGCCTGGAAACTAAATATTGCCAGAGTATGTAGGATTTACCTAACAACCACTTGTAGTATGCTGTCATTGCCAGCCTATACAGAATGGGCTGTTGGCACTAGAAGTAATTTGATTCCTATTTTCATCTCATAACACCAAAACATGGATCAGAGGCCCAGATAAGCTGCGGATCCGGGTAAAATACGTATAGAAAATTTCCAATTACGCATTGAAAAAATAATTGTTGTGTACCAATTACGCATTTAAAATGTTAGATACGCAACAAATGCGTACGGAATGTATTAATAAAAATCACTCGTGTAATGAAAAAGACATCGATTGCTATCAAGTTGTACTGTTAGTATAGGACAAGTGTTGTACTGTCAGTATAGGATGAGTGATTTATTATGAAATCATTTCCATTATATTAAAGTTGGTTTTGATCAGGTATGACATAAGGCAGAACATACCTGCTTAGTAAACCTACTCAATGACATAATACTTAGGTGAGTAAAATGACTGAAATACGCACATATATGAAAGCAGTGGGTAACGGAAAATGAAATACCCACTCAAAATTCATAATACCCACTCCAAAAACATACAGTGGGTACAGTACCCACATGAGCTAAATCTTATCTGGAGGTCTGATGGATGATTATATTTTACAACACTAAAAGACAGAAAGGTCTTTGACAAATTGACAGTTAACAAACAGGGATTTTTATGAGGCTGTATGATCAGTCTTCACGACTAAATATTCTCCCTATTTATGACACAATATTTCGCATTTTCAACAGTTAATATTTGAATATTTCATCCACTACTTCAAATCCAACCCAGAAGAAAGTCCGCCGCCTGGGAGACACTGGTCAAAGGGTCATGAGACATTGTTCCACGTCCTGTGTCAACACGTCTCCACCATGGGGGGTAAAGTTTACCTGGACAAAACATTTCACACCTGTACCCCAAACTACCTCCGATATTGGAAACATGAGCACAGGCATTCCTGACACAGCAAGAATGTCTACACCTAGACTTGCACAAGTGTCTTAAGATAATAATAATAGTTTAAATGATAATTTCTAAAAAAAATGTAATATCCCTCTAACAGGGATATAAATATCCTTGTATTGTCCACTTATCTAGACTTGCCTCTTTAAAGCATAGAATTACTATACATCTATGGCCTTCGGTACAGCCTTGGAGCAAGGCTAGTTTACACCATGTCACCCTTGTGAACACTTGAAACTACACAAACATTTAAACTGTATATTAGAAGACACAAGTTGTTTGGTCCACTGTTTGTAGCCGTATCTGAACACTTTTTTTTATGATAATGTGTTAAGACATTGTATTAGAACTGACGGCAAAGTAGTTAAAATGTTGCCATAGCAACAAACCATCTTGTTAATGCTGACAAATGTACCCTGAATGTGAAGAGATAGAGGAAACATTTGAATGATACCTAGGTGTCCTTGATCTGTGACCTTGTTAGAGGTTAGTGATAACTGACCTAGTAACAACGGAATATCCTGTGTCCTGTGAGACCTTTGTAAATACACCAACCTTAAATATGTCTAACAGCCAAATATTGATAAGATTAGCAAAACTCATGTACAAGAGGAAACATATATTCTCATTTCAGGAATTAATAAAAGAAACATTTGACAAAAGTGCATAAAATAATATTTATACACATATATATGTGTTATTCCTTGACCTTGTGCCCTAAATATTTAGACTGAAGAGAGCTGCATTTCAAACACATGACTGTTTCGATATTTTATAGTATGTCATAAGGCTGATGAAAATATTAAGAACAAACGGTCTTTGAATAATTAACTACCTATTCTACATCTATCAACTTTGACAGCAAATTAAATCAGGGGTGGAAAAACTTTAAAATTGCTAGTGTACTCCGGTACAATGGCACATGTAAAATCACTTGCCCTGATAATTTTTCCACTATACTGGCTGATTTTCTTGTTGATTTTTTAAATAAACAACATAATTAACATTGGAAAGTCAACTGGACACCGGTACAGTGTGATATACAAATTTGCTAGCCCGAAGAAAAAAACACTGGACTGGGCGTCGGGCAATGGGTTATTTCCACATCTGTAAATATGTCTAATTTTTGTTTGTGTGATGTTTAAAGCTGCATTCAGCTATATTCAGACATATAATCAAAATAATCATAACAGACCAGTGATTGACATCATGAGCATCAAACTAAACAATCGGGATATGATGACACTTATCACCCAAGTGAGCA